TGCTACTGACCCTGTAGAAGAGATTCAGTGGTATTTCAAAATGCTCTTTGTTGTGACAAGCACTTAATGATAGAAAATGCTGTTAGAAAGCACTTAATGATAGAAACTTCCTGGCAGAAACTACTGCCATAGCGTTGGTCCTAGCTGGTCTACTGAGGAAAGACCTGTTAAAAATCCAGCCTCAGTCCTCTCTCTACCCTTTTGTTTATTTTAGAAACTGTGTATCATTTTTATGATATGATAGTATCTCATATTCCTAACCTAGACACAAAATAACAGTGGAGTTGGATTTTTAAATTATTTTTCTATTTTATAATTAGATTCTGCTAATGGAACACACATTTTATGTTTTTTAAAAATATTTTCTGTATAATTTATATTTTTATTTTGCTCTTAAATCTGTCATGCTATTAAAAATGAACCTATTCCATTCTTGCATATGTGCAGTTGGAAAATTCTAATGTTTTTATCAATTTCATGAAATTTCAGTTGCAAAATACTGCAATATTTGTCACACCAAAAGAAAGAATTTAAATCCATCCTTGCCCTCCCTCCAGTAGAATTTATTAAAATTATGAATCTTCTTTCTTGATAGGTTTGTGAAATTAAATTGTGTTCCAGTGTATATAAGCAAAGTTTAACCTTTGCTGGTGAAACCAAAGCATTTTCTTTTCTTAAAAATCCATTGCTGTAGGAAGAGAGGATTAAGGCAGGTTGGAGCACTGACCTGTACAGGATCTCTCACCCTGTACAACATTAATAATGGATGTCACTATTTACTAGCCCTCAAGAGCCCACTTTAGAATATATCATATTTACTGTGAAACTTGAATAAAGGCAGATGCTGAAGAAAATGTGTTGTATAAAATCAGCCATGGGTGAGTTTATTATTATAAATCCTGAATGAATCCTGACTACTTCCAGGACTTCTGTCCTTCTTCCTAGCATTTAAAAATACCTCTTACCCTCTACAGTTTAGACAAGCAGTCTCAATTTGGCATTTTGTAGTGCCAGATTTAACAATTTTTTTTAAATGTGATGTGTTTTATGTATGATTAATTAATGCTAGTAATTCTCTTAACAGGGTGATTTGAGTGGAAGTGCCATCCTTTGGCACTTGCTAATTTCCTCATGGAATAGGGTTGGCATTCCTTACCTCCCAAGAAGACAATGTTGCTCTTTGAAGAAGCAAACTTACATCCTTCCAAGAACAAAGCTTGAACTATCCCTGCAGCCCAGCAGGTGGAATTAAGGCACGTGGTCCCATTGTGTTTTCCAGTTTCAGTGGAATGGTGAGATTGGGAACTAAGGATTTGTTTCCAGGCTGTAAAGAGCAGCTAGTCTGAAGATTATGGAGTCTTCAGGTTGGTTCTGTACAGCCTGGTTGAGTTTAACTTACCATTTGTTCTTCCTCCTCCTTTCCTCTTTCCCCAGGTCCCTTTACCTCAATAATCTTGATTGCACATTTCCTGCATTTGTTCAGCTCTTCCCTTCTCTGATCTGTCCCTTCCCAAGCCATCTAATGCTGGACTTTTCCAGACTCACTATCATTCCTGACACTTCTTTTTCCCTTCTGTTTAATCAATTGTGCTTCAAATCACTTGAACCAGCTGACTTTTTCTCAGCTGAGGTCCCACTCAGTCCACCTATGCAAATAATTTTTTTATTTCAGTCTCTCACTCAGTTCATGGCATGGTAGTTCTTCTGTACCCTCTTTTGCTTTCATGCAATAGTCCCACTGCTCTGGTGCTTAGTTCTCAGTCTTAGCCATTCTAATCAGTCAGTCTAAGGCCTCTAACATGAATCAGGAGTTTTACTTATGCCCTTTCTGGTCTTTCTTCCATTCTACTGACACATAGATCCTTCTCTTTCCAACTTAGCCTCTGTTAGTACTGCCTTTGGAGAGTACAGTCAAGACAATCTCTTTGTTCTCCCAAAATATGGGTTGGAATATAGTAAAAAAAGTGCATTTTTTGAGAAATATAGGAAAAGTCTTGGGATGGTGATTACTTTGTGCAGGTGGAATTGTTCGTGATTTTGGTTTTCAACTGTTACTTGTCTCACCTGACCTTGTGATTACAGTTTTTGAAACCTTATTATCTTGTGTCCAGGTTTGGGTTAATTTTCATATTATGTTGACATAGTTCTGAGATCAGTTCAGTTGGTTAGTGCCAAGATTGTAAGTTCAATCCCCATCTGGGCCATTCATTTAGAAGTTGGACTTGATCTTTGTACATCCTGTCCTACTCAGAATATGCAGTGATTCTGTGGTTATGATTGAGACCCAAAAATTTCTGCAAAGGAAGTAGGCAGAATTCTTTTAAAGGTAAAATAATGTAGTCCCCTTGCCACTTTCTTTTTGGGAGCAAATAATTGGTGTAGATGAAACTACACTTGTTATAGTTTGCTTCAGTGCTTTTTGAAGTTGTTAGATTATTTCTTGTACCTGTGAAATATTCTTTGAATTGCTGAGTTTGCCTTTGAAGTTGTTTGAGTGGGTTTACCAACTCTACTTTCTAGGATGGATTTCTACTTTTTTGGAAAGCAAGAATCTACTGAGTATGTTTATGGAAATTTTCACCTTGAAAATATGAGTAAGTTCTACAGATCTCTTATTTAGTACTAGAAAAATAGTTTGATTTGAAAAAAAAGCAAAGAGAATGTTGAGGAATATAGTTTCAGAGGATAGAAATATCTCCATAACACTTTTCCCATACCTCAGTGGTGTCAGTCCCTTCCTGAAAAATATGGGGTTCTACCTTATGTCTCCCTGCAGGAGAATGAGCCTGTATTTTCCTTTTTCTAAAAGAAAGCTCTGCTGATCTAGGTTGTTCTAGGTAGACTGATTTTGATCTTTTGTCATGGAAATGTTTTATACTGTATTAATTATACAGGGTGGATATACATCATCGATTTGTTGGGTTTTTTTCTTAATTCTCTCTGCAGTCTCAATTCCTCTGTATCCTCCTCAGTCTCTGACTTACTCTAAATACAGACCAACTACAATGCCCTAACCTGGCTGTGGAGATCAAAATGGCTTTAGGCTGCATTAGAATTGGTAGGAAAAGGTTTTGGTTGAAAACCAGCATGAATCATGCTTAGAGTGGGTTGAGCAGTAATGCCTTTTTTGTTTTGTTTTGTTCTTATTCAATCACAATTTAACTAAATAGCACATACAAAGTAGACTGGCATAAGCAGAAGAAATACTAAGCTGAAAACCCTTTAGCCTCAGGCATTGTCCTGGATAACACTTGATGAAATTTTCATCTTCTTAAAGGTGGGAGCTGAAACTTAATCTTTCATGATCTTCATGGTTTCCTTTCCACCAATTACTGGAGTTCATTTCATAGAGCTGTAATCTGATTGCTTAGCTAAACAACAAAAATAAATTTCAGTTCCCACCATCTCAATCCTTAGCCCCAAAAAGCACCATGTGGAAAATTGCTAGTGCCCCTACTGCACAATTAAGATTTGAGGAGGGATTTTAGAAATTTAGATTGCTTATGTCCACCTATAAAAATGCATTGTAAGGCTTTGTCTGTGCTTTTGATAACAATCAGCATCCAGAAATACTCCAATGTAGTTAGTTATTCCATATGATAGGCTTTACTGGACCTTATCAGAAGTATCTAGCTGGTAGGATCTCATTCAAGATCTGTTTTTTAGATCTAACTGTGCAGATACCTTCAGTATATTTTTTCAGCATGACAGTGTTTATTAAAGATCATAGGTTTATATTATTGTGGACTGCAAGATATGAGATTAACTGTTTTTATCTGTTGCACCTTAATTTGCACCTAATGTTAAAGAGATGCTCTTTAGTGTGCAGTGGAGTTCAGTCACTGGCTGCTTGTCCTAATTCTTGGACTTTCAAGAAGGATGTAACTGAAAGATGTGGCTGAGGAAAGACAGAAGTATATATATTCAAATTTAATCTAACTGCTCTTTCAAAAGACTGTTTGAATTATAAGTGCTGCAATCACTACAAGAATATAAATGAACATGGCCACCCATAACGTGAAAAACTATATTGTCCCATACATTTCAAAATTAATTTTTAAATTCTGATGTTGTACAGCTCTTAACAGGTACCTAAACAAAGGGGAATGTAGGTGGAAAAGTAAATTGGATCTCTACCATTGTTTATGCCTAATATCACATGTACTTAAAATATATCCTTCTTGTTTTGTCACAGATGCTACACCAGCATATTACTCAGGATGATTTTGTTATTTGCTACTGCCATATTTTTAAAACCAGGTTCTAGTGCCTAAGAGTTAGCATGTACAGAATAAACTTTCAACCAGATATTAATATTGCCTAATTAAGATACCTGTAGTATTTCTCATCTGCATAATCTTGATTTTGTCAGCTTTTCTGTAATTCATTTTTCTAGGCAATTTATGATCATATCATAAGACTCTATTTTAAACTGGTATTTCATAGAATATATTACAAAAGGACTTAGACCAGGTATTTAGATGTTTAGATTAGTCATTGTTATTAAAATTGCTATACATTCAAGTGGTCATCTTTCATTTTGATATCAAACACTGAAATTTTCCAGAGAATGCCATTTGACCTTCAGATCTAGTGATCAACTTGAGACTGGCAAACCACTGCATAAAACTAGTCAAACTTGTATAATAAAACAGGAGTGGAAAAAGAAAATTGTCATGCAAGTAAAGCTGCAAAGTAGTTTATGTTTTAATTTTTGAATTTGTATGAATAAAATCATATAACCCAATATTACTTTGCTTTTAGATACTGTCAAACAGCATAAGCCTCTTAGATTCCCAAAATAATGTTTTGTTTATCTTTTATCTTTTTAGTTTAATATTGAAACTAAATTTTAAAAAATCGAGGACTTGATTTTTTTTTTTTATCCAAAGAAGAGGAAAATAAAATCCAGTCACCTCTGGGTAAATCCTCACTGTGAACAACAACAAAAGAAGATGCTTACACTTTTATCCCTTGTGGATTTCTTTTTAATATTTCAGAGCAATGAACATATGGCTGTTACTATCAGCACTGGTGTATTTGCGGCGATGCCTATCAACATCCACCAGAGAGCAGGGCAGCTCCAAAACCCACATCTTTTATGCTGTGGAAATTGATGGAGACAGCAACACAGCCAGCTTCTTGGCCAAACAACATGGAATGCAGTTCATTTCAAAGGTCAGCGCATATTTAAACTTGCTTCATTACTCCCACCTTTATGCTTGAGATTTTCATTTTTTTAAAATCAGTTTACCTAGAGGTTCCTTTAGAGACAGAAAAATGAAAGTGCTGAATCCTATTTTCATTTGGGGATATCAAGCTTTTTATCAAATTATAGAGGTGGCGTTTCAGAATATTTCATATCTGATCAGAAGGAAAATCCAAAAATAATTTTCTCTTTATTCAGGAGTCTTTCAGCCACTGGGACTGTTTTATTTATTACTTAATATTGTGCTCCAGTCAATCATTTTGAATTCAGACAGGAAAATGGAATTTTTATTTTTAAAAGGAAAAAATCCAGAGGAAAAATGCTATTGGAATAAAGGAGATTTTATTATTTAAAAAAATAAAAATATGTCTTCTCTTTTTCTGCTAACTGTTTTATTTTCTTTTAATCACAGTGCATTAATATGAAGACATATATTAAACAAAGGATCTTACATAAAATCATATATTTGTTAATTACAGGCATTTTTTTCCAGAGCATTTCTACAGCATTTATCACTGAGCTTGAGAAATTATGGTCTTGTAACACAATAAAGGAAAAATGTTTTTCTTCCCTTGAAATAGCATCTCAATGCACATATTTTCTGTATAGGTACTGCGTATATGTGTATCAACATGAAGTGTGTATTTATATTGCATCTAGCTTTATTTTAACTTCCTGTTGAAAGAAGGTTATTCCTGAGCTGTGTGTTGGTACCTTGGGACACAGCCCAAACAGAAGAAACACATCAATATCTTTCATTTACAGTTACTGGTCTGCAAAACTGGACATGTATACCAGTGACACAGTGTTAAATTTTCCTGTTGCTTCTAGTCTAGAAGCATATTGCATCAGTTGAAGTAGATCACAAATAAATTATTAAAACTTTTAATATGTTAATCTGTTGCAGCCTCCATTCATTGACCTGAAAGTTCTTTGCCAATTTTAATGAATTAAGCCTTGAAGTGCTCCTTTTGCTTTTATCTCTGCTTCTCAGATGTGAAAAGCAGAGGTAGAGTAAGTAAAACAATTTGTTCAAGATCCACACAGGAAGTCTGAGGCCCAGTGAGAAATGGGAAAAACATTGTAAATTTTCATTTCTGCGCTGTAGCTGTAAGAAATTATCCTAAGAGAGAAAATGTAATGAGCTTATGAAGAGGAGGCAGTGCATTACATGTGCTTCAACAGCCACTATGGTCTACCCTAAGCATGGAAATCACTGAAGGGCCCCCAGGAAAAACTGCACCCAGTTTTTTGTTAGAATGACACAATGACACAACCTTCCCAGTGTGTTCCCCTTAGTGTATAAATATTAAAATTGTCACAGGCTGTTGTATTGAGGATGCTAATAAAAAAAGCCTAACAAACAACACTGAGGTATTAGTATTTCTTTAAAGGGTGTCTTCAATGATAGGGTTGCAAAAAAGGATTTCTTCAGGGTTTGAGTAGCACAGAGGTACTTTGTACTAGGGGAACAGGTGACAGTTTCAGTAGCTATATAATCAGGGCACTATTTATAGCTAGGTTGATGGGAAGATATTTGGTAGTATAACAGAGGAAGTCACACTGTATTCTTTGTTCAGTAATATTTATTTAGGAAAACACATTGTTTATTACAGTGATTATGAATAAGAAAAAGCAAAAGATGGAGAAAGAAATGTGGGAGACATAGGAAGGGTTTTCTCCTGTGAATTTCCATTTTACAACCTGTTCTATAAGCAGATACCTTTCTAAGCATTCCTATTTCATATGTGGGGAAAAAAAAAGCTTCTGTGGTATTTAAAGCTTATGGTCTTTAAGCCCTGAGGAGCACTGGTAAAGTATTAAAGATTCAAATATGATTAAGCTTAATATTTTTTCAAACTTTTTGTTGGCTTCTATTAAGCTTACAGCATGTGCTATGTGATAAGATGATACTGAAGTATTATTTGAAAAATAAACCTCTAAAACATGATAAAATTTGTTGTGACTAAAATTCCTAGGTAGTCAGGAGTATTAGTACTGCGGTTAGGAGTTTGGCTCCTATTTTAGATTCCCATATGACAAAGCATTTGAAACACACACTTGAGTTCAATCCTTTTTCAGAAGAAAAATTCCTAATTATGTACCTATGTTGAATGGGATCTAGACATATCCTTAAGTGCTTTACTGGATAAGGCTGGACTGCTGAATAGGGCTCTTGGTGAAAAACCAGTTTTGTATGAGAAAAGTGACATCAAAGACTGAAAATGCTATCTTTTAAATATGCTGCTGTCACCACAGGAAACAGACTCCTGTAGAAATGGTAATTATGTGTAACTGTGACATCCTTGCTTCAGCATGTTAGCTGCAATTTGGAGTTGCAGTTTAAAGGCCTAACTTCCCTTTGGCTTCAGAATTCGCTTTTACCATGATACAGTGGATAAAGGCAGTGAGTTAAGTGCGTTGCATTGGATTTTTTTCTCTCATTAAATGGTGTTACTTATTAATATGTGGATGCTTGGCAACAAAGTAGGAAAATTGCAAGTGTGAAAAAGGCTACCAATTAGTGATCACACTGGAATACACTCTTGAATGGCATTTAGTGTATGAAATCCAAAGTGGTAAACTTTTGACATTGGTTGCAATAGTATTTCATTTCACATTCTGTACCAGCTCTAACTTACTAATGAAAACAGTGTAGTGAAGAGGTTTTTTAAAACTTGATGTTATGATTTCTCTTAAACTTAAAACCACTGATTTAAAGTTTCTGTAAATCAAAACACTCATTAGAAACTGTGAAGTTACCCCCAGCATGTAGGAGAGTCTCATCAGTTCTAACATAATTAAAATATTTTGCAAAGAAATGTTTACTTACAAAAGTTGTAACTTTTACATTTCTAGGTGATGGCAATGCCCTTAATAAAGATTAGAGAAGTCAGCAGATATTAAATATAGTTATATATCAGAGGTATACATTAGAATTGAATGTATGTTAGTATTCTTTCACACTGTTGAGATTTGAGTAAATGAAATTTCTTTGTTTTTATCACTGTTGTAATGTAGACTGTACACAAGTCTCAAGTCTTTGCTTAAAGCCTGCAATTTAATTGCTGAACCAGTTTTGAAGACTTTGGTAAATACATACACACATATGTGTGTATATAAATGTATATACACATACACACATAAGTGTAAAGCATAGATGAGTTTGTGTTTGGACATACATCCCCTGCATATACTTATCTAAGTGAATAAATGCAGGTATGTTACAAATTTAATTTTCAACAAAGTTTCGTAGATATATTGGGTATTTGTTTTTCATCAGCAAAACTCTGGAAAGTATGATATAAAAGGTGCATGGTATTTGAGTATTATATCTAAAAATTTGTTCTTGTAACACTGGGAAACCCTGCAGTGAACTTCAAGGTCTGGATATTCCTAAACTTGTATAGAAACTCCAAGTAAATCTTGGATTTTAAAAAAATGAAGATTTGAAATGAATTATTCTGACCATGAGTGAAAAACTGATTGTATGTCTGTATATATATATGTATTCAGAAGGTAAAGTCAAGCTGGGCAGAAAACCCCACTTTTAATAAAAATGGGTTTAATACAGATACTTTTTAGAAATGAAAGCAAGAATGCTCAATGACATTTTGACTGTGATCAAGGTTAGTTTCATATTTCATATTTCTCTCCCTATTTTTCCTTTCTTCTCTTCTTTTTTTTAATTGATCTTTCTCTTCGATTCTTCTTTTTTTTTTTTTTTTTTCTAATTTCCTTTTCCAGTGCAGAGAAGTTTTTAGTTGTTTCATTATCATTTCTTTTTTCCAAAGTCTGTATTTTCTATATTAAGCTTCTTTGGATATTTTGCAAGCTGTAAGCAGAACAGATATAACATAATGTGTCTCAGTGTATTTATTAATTTTATTTTATGATGTATCCCTTCAATCTTATTGTATCTTTAAAAGTCAAAATACACAACATCTAAGGAAACTATGGAAATGCTTCTTGCTGAGCTGGATATGGGTTTAATAGATCCCATTCAAGAATGACTGTTAATTTACATGACCTAACTCCATGGACAATTTTTTTGAATTGGTTATTTCCCTTTAAATTTTACAGCACACACTTATTGGATTGTATTTTCTCAGAGTAGTTAAGGGATGGGAATTTGTCCTCATTTCCCCCCTACTCTAATGCTTTTATTTCTATAGAAAGAATATCTTACATTTAAATTACTACTTTTAAATTTATTTCCTCCATGTGTGGTTAATATACCAAGCTTTTTAAATGGGGAGGAGGGGGGGGCAGGGGGAAGATATTTGTTACAGGTTTTGATTATCAGTAGTTAATTCCTTTGCCTTGGACTGATGTGCAGGAAAATCTAGGATTTTTTTTGAAGGAGGAGGATTCTGGAATTGTGAGAGATACTTCTGTTACTCTTCTCTCTGCCATCCTGTGAAGTGTCCAGAAAATCTTCTTGTTCCACTTTTGCAAAGTGAGGAATAATCCCTCACTTTGACACTTCACACTGAAGTCTAAAACAGCAGTGACTGGGGAAAAGCACAGCTTGGGTGGTGCTGTTTGTTAACACCACTGATGAGTACCTGATGATTTGAAAAGACCATCAAGGTTTTTAAGACATATTACAGAATGAGCTTTCATTGTTTTCCCTTGTTTACATATGTGATCATAGAATATCCTGAGTTGGAAGGGACACACAGGGATCATCTAAGTCCAACTTCTGGCCCTGCCCAGGACAGTCCCAAGAGTCACACCGTGTGCCTGAGAGCATTGTCCAAACACTTGATGCACTGACCACTTCCCTAGGGGGCATTGCAAGTGCCCTAAGTGCCCTCTGGGTGAAAAAGCTTTTCCTAATATCTAGCCTAAATGTTATAGCTGATGTTTTCTTTAACCTTGCAATTACTAATTCATCATATTTTTGTTAAAAGAAATGATACTTTCCTCAAATATTCTGCTTCTGGAGTAATGTTTGCTTTCAAAG